CCCTTATTGGTCAGTGCATGATGTCTCACTTTAAGTTCCTGAATGCTATAAAAATCAATTCTCCAAAGCCAAGCCAAAAAGGTGGCTCGCAGGTTACTCTTGAGAAGCTGTTGACAACGATATTTTTAGGAGAAAGAACATGGGCTGTTTGCTGCTGTCAGGCTCAGTTACATGACAAAAAAACAATCTGTCCTCTGACAGCCATCCTCAGATCTGACACTTATATAACATTCTTAATCCTGAAATATCCCAAACAGGTAAATCCTCCCTCCCTTGTCGTATGCATAATACCACAAACTCCAACAGAGTTGTGTGCTGAGTGAAAGTCGGCATGCTTTTGGGTGTTGTCCCACTTACTGGCATTGAGCTGTCCCATTGAAGCATGTGTGTCAAATGTACAGCCCACAGGCTGGATATGGGCCACAGAACCAAGTCATTAGATCCATGGGGCTCCTGAAGCAACTAGGAATTTGGGGGCAGGCTGAGCAGGGACAGGACCTACCATCCATGCTGATGCCATGTCACTGCAGTGATGAGCTAGATTACCACAACATAGTGTCTCATGTAGATGTGCCCACTGACAATTTCAACTTTCAAATTTAAAATCTCCTCAATTTCCCCACAGCTTGGACATACAAATGATTCAGCCTATTTTGGACAATAAGAGGGTTTTAAAGAGTATGTTTTTCCTGAAATTAAAGAAACATTTCTTGTGATTTGGGTTTTTTTTTTTTAAGATGAGGAGGACATGTTTATCTCTTCTCAATGGGAAATAGTAGAGACTTGAGTTTCACTAGAGACCCAAGGCTGCAGATATATGTACCTTCTGGTGGTCAAGTGAAGATCTCATTTGATTTGGCTGATTTGATTTGCACTGGTTTGTGGGTTTGTGCTATACAAGGGAGGCTTTTAAACTATCGATCCAACAGTGTTCTTTTGGCATGGTGCTTGCTGCTTAACAAGTGGCAGAGGGCCACCTCTCCACCTGCATGCACATGGAAGGAAGGAAGGGAAGAATTTGTGGGAAGGTGTCTTCTGGAGTGGGTGACACCCAGCCTATGCAGAACTCACTACCTCCCAAGATTGCTTGCTAATCTGCATTCCTGGGAGAAACAGCTGTCTTAGAGATAACTGCTAACCAGATCCAAACCTTTCCAAACCTCCTGGCCCTCTCATCCCTTTGAAAATTTCAATGCAAATTATATGTCCAAACTGTTAGCTCTACTGATACTAACTTTTCAAAAAATTACATACTGTTTCATTAAAAAGCCTTGAAAAGCCACTCTCCATTGAGCAACCTATATATTTATGTCAGTCCCTCTGTAGAAAAACTTTACCAAACTACCACAGAGAACATTTCCAATAAACTGTTTGAAACTGATATGAGTAACACCACCAGCACCCATATGAAAAATTGGTTAAAAAAGGGGGTTGTGGATAGAGTAAGATGTTTATCTTTCACAGAGAATGGAAAAATAATGAACATTAACAGGATGTTATAAGGCACAAATTACTTTTAAATTCAATTCCTGCTGAGTCTGATTTCCAACTGTAAGGAGAATGGAATATTTCTTGAACAACAGAGAAATGGGAAACCAACCAAATTGACAACATTTTAACCATTTTAGATGCATCCTAGATTTTTATTAGAGGTTGTCATATGACATTTCAAGCCACTGTAATCAAGCCTTGTCTTCTAAAAGGCAACAGGAAAGCTACAGGTTTTATTTCTCGAGTCCCAGCTATATTTTTTCCCTTTGGACATTTTCTTTAATAGTCCTTGTAGCATGTTACTATTATATTTGGACCCTAGACAGGAAAATCAAGCATTCAAACCAGCTTCCCTTCTCTGTCCATTCAGGGCCAAATCTTGGTCCTACTCAAATCAATGGAAATTTATTTTAATAGGGGCAGGATTTTCTTCTGTTAGTTCCACAGTTATTCAGTTTTAAAAAAATGCATCTGACAGCTGTCTCTCTTAAGTAACTTTCACAACATATTTGTATTAGCATGCTGTGTTCTCCCTTTGTGATGTCCATATGCTCCAGTCTGGAGAGCAAGCCAAACTTTGCTGCAACAATGTTTTTGTGGCTTTCAGAAAGCATAATATCTCACCACCCTCTTACGTGACTAGTAGTGGAAGGATGTGATGTGCATACAGTATGTAGGTTTAGTTCTGTCATTAGTGGATTTCCGATTAGGATGTGCCTATTGAACATATGTCTTTGTTGGGAAGGTACAAAGGTAAACCTCCAAGATGGGAGAAGTTCCCAATGCCTGGGAGAGCACACATGTTGCTGCACACATTTAAGGAGTGAGGCATGCTCCTCTATAGTATGCAAGCACTTGGGAGAGCAAGTGTTGGCCCTATCAAAATTCTTCGAGTGTGCCCAGCAGTGCTGGGAAGTGGCCGGGGGCCAGGACAGAGGGGCAGCAGTGACATCCAGTTGCCATCACAGTGGAAGAAGCCACTTTTTTCTGCTTCCCCCCTTCCCCCCCCAGTCAGCGCCCAGGGCAGTAGCCCTGTTTACCATGCCCCAGTGGCCCCCAAGAGGTAGCTAAGGAATAGTCTTTTGTCCCATGAGGGCAGCACAGCAATTCTCTCCAGGCCATGCAAAGCAGGGGTAACTTCTTTACCTTTCTACTGTCACTATGCAGCTGCATAAGGCTCAATGGGATCTAATTCTAAATAAGCTAAAAAGCCTAAAGCCCAGCTTGTTTTCAGTGCTAACCCTCTAGCATGTTTGTCTTTGAAGACAAGATGGAATGCTATTCGTGACAGTACATTTATAGCTCTGTGCCTTAGGATCTAAACAAGAGAAATTGATTTGGTGTGTAGTTGTTGGGCATCTTCAGCTTTCCTGGAAGCCCCGTCTTCTGTGTGGCATCTGTATGAGCAAGTGAAAAATTTACATTTTGCCTGTGCAGGATGATAGATGCAGGGGCTGCTGCTATAAAATTCTGCAGGAGGAGAATGCAAACATCTCATCGAACTGTAACAAAGTTCTCCAACACCCTGTCACGGGGCGGGGACCCAAGAGCGGCCGTGATCTCTCCTGGCGCCCCTACCATGCCAAGTTGCCTGTCTAGCACCCTCGTTCTCGCCCGCCACGACTTTGATGGTTCTATAACATTAATGGGAGGCTGCCTTTACTTGACCCTTTGGGCCCAGTGCTCTTACCCTTCTGGTTCCTGCTCTATCCAAATAGATTCTGGTCCCCCAACCCTATGGGCGTCGCGTGGCTCCAACCACCCCTCATACCACACCCCAAGCCTCTCAGTTGTCCCGGACGTTATCGCGTCTAGGCTCTTTCCTTAGTGCCCTCTCTTGGGGCTTCTCCAAAATGTATTCGCCCTCTCCTGGGGCTTCTCCAAAATGTACTTGCCCTCTCCTGGGGTTTCTTGTACACAGACAGTACCCCACCGGGGCTTGTCTCTCCGCACTCTCACCTGCACTGGGACCTGTCTCTGTGTGATTCCTGCAGTTGGGGCTCAGGTGGCCATAGCCATGCCTGGCCCCTGGATCCCTTCTTGGATCCTTGGCCCGACTCAGGCTTCCCAGGATCGGGGTCAGGCGGCCTCAGCCTCACCTGGCCCCCAGACCCCTCTCTCTGGGTCTTATGCCCTGCTGGGGTTCCTCCTGATACTGCCCCACTGGGCTGGGGTTGGGACACCCCACTAGCTCCTCCCGATGT